TTCTTTTTCTTCTTTTTTTATAACTAACAGCAGGAGAGCATAGCCGCAAAAATTTAGAAAGATAAGAGTTTGCTCTAAGACCTTCCATTGTGGAAAAAGGCCTGCAGTTGCAGTAACAGAATGAGACTTAGGAAAAATCACTGGTGCTAAATAGATTACTTTTTATCATGTTTTGATGGTCTCATTTGTAATATACACAGGAAAGGGAAATGTTGTATAGTTACTTATCTACTTGGCTCAGAGGTTGCATAACCCATACCCTCCAACGTTTCTCCAATGAAATTAGGGACGGCCTATTCCCTAATCATCATCATAATTTTATTCTTTATACCCCGCCCATCTGACTGGGTTGCTCCAGCTACTCTCGGTAGCTTCCGACATATATAAAAACATAATTAAACACTGAACATTAAAAAAGCTTCCCTATACAGGGCTGCCTTCAGATGTTTTCTAAAGGTGGTATAGTTACATATCTCCTTGGCTCAGAGATCGCATGACTCCATACCCTCTGATGAAAATAGGGACATCCTACCATACCTGCCAACATTTCTCCGATGAAATTAGGGACGTCCTAAGGAAAAGCGGGACATTCTGGGATCAAATCAGAAACCAGGATGGCTTCAGAAATCCAGGACTATCCCTGGAAAATAGGGACACTTGGAGCAGTACTTATTACAGGAGCGGGGACCTTCAGCATGTTCACACGTCTTGTCCCACAAGGGGGTCCAGTTTGGCCTGCGAAGCCATTTTCCTACAACCAGGCTCACCCTCCCATCAGCTGACGTCACCGGGCTTGAGAATTTGTAGAACCCCAAAGCATTTAAATAAATTTTGAGGTGCAGCTAGCCAAATCCCCGCACTGTCAGGAATTCCCAAGTCTTTGTGGTTTTCCCACTTTGGTTGCACCAAACTAGTCCTGCTTACCCCTTCCATCCATTTTATATGTACCACTGTCCTTGCTACTGATTTCCTAAAATGAGCACAGGCTTTCCTCGTTGTACTTAAGTCAATTCAAAATATTTTACCACCCAGGTCTTCCCAAGATCCACTTACTTTTCAAGTCTCCTTTTGTTCTCTCCTGTTCCAAGAAGTTTTCTTTTGGCGCAACTTGATCAACAGTCAACTTGGAAAACCTTACCTTCCTAGATAAAGTGTGTTCCAGACTATTCCATGGCAGCTTCTGCCTCTTCGCTTTCCCTTTACAGTTCACAAAAGCTGGAATTGTGGGCTTCAGATACACATTCTTCATGGTTGTTATATATAGTCATGCAAATCAATCTCATACATTTTTACTTAGAAGTATGTCCCACTCGGATCAGCGGGGCTACTTCCAAGTAAGTCTGCAACAGATGGGAAGATTAGAGTTAAATTGCTGTTCAGTACATAACAAATTTGATAGAGGATGGAGAGAGACCAGATAGCTATCTGGTGAACTAGTTCAGAGTTGATCAGTACAGATATGATTTAGTACCGTATCTTAGTGGTTTTATGGTCTGTAGCAAACTGTTTCATTTCAGTTCTCAGTGTCCACATAATTTTAAGTACCTAGTGCATCATTTAAAGAGGACCATGTCATCCTTCCAAATTCACGTCCCTGCAGTATATACCGTATTTTTCCGTGTATAAGACTAGGTTTTCCCCCTAAAAAATAATGTCAAAAATTAGGGGGTGTCTTCTACACGGATACATCTCCCCCCATTTCTTCAGAGTCCCCAAAAGTAGGGGGCATCTTATACATGGGGGTGTCTTATAGACAGAAAAATACAGTACAGTATGTGCTAAATACAGTATGTGCTAAATACAATTTAGCCAGAAGGCAGCAGAGGTTTAGTTTTACTTTTCCTAGATGGGCTCCCTTCCCAGTGGTTGATGAGCCCCACCTGCCCCTATACTTCCCTCTACAGAAGGTGCAGAAACTGCCTTCTTGACTGTTGGATCCACTGTTGGCCTCTGTCGGCCTGTCTTCATATGCAGGGGAAGTCCCTAACTCACTGAGGGTTTGAGACCCATCAGCTCCCCTCGCCTGGTCTAGCCAACCAGTTGAAGTATGCAGTCGTATGACGACAGCTTCTAAGAGCCACAGGTGAGAGCACGGTGCAGTGGGGGGGACCAAGGTGGATGAACTACCCAGAAGGATCACATCATGTGTGTGTCCCCCTCCCACTAAAAAAGGTAAAGGACCCCTGACATTTAAGTCCAGTTGTGAACGACTCTAGGGTTCTGGTGCTCATCTTGCTTTACTGGCTGAGACAGCCAACGTTTGTCCGCAGATAGTTTTTCCTGGTCAAGTGGCCAGCATCACTAAGCTGCTTATGGCGAAACCAGAGCAGTGCACGGAAACGCCGTTTATCTTCCCGCTGGAGCAGTACCTATTTAGGTTGGCAGGAGCTGGGACTGGGCAACGGGAGCTCACTTCGTCACGGGGATTCGAACCGCCGACCTTCTGATCAGCAAGCCCAAGAGGCCACCCGAGTGCCCCCCCACTACCCCTCCCCAAACTCCCAGACAGATGAATGCCGACAAATAGACACCTGAGTACGCATTCTCGCATTAGTTTTGACACTTTTCTAGAGAGAGTTATTATATTCCTCTTATTCAGAGAAGTAACTGTGGGTTTGAGTTTGCTTTAAAATGAATGCTACAAGGACCTGAAACATAACCTGAGCCCAGGCGGAACTGGCCTGAAAGCACAGGCATTGGTTCCATTTGTCTGCCAGCAGCGTCAGCTGTCATTGGAACAGTTAGGGGAGCAAGCACATTCCCCTTGCCATCATCTCCTGACACTTGCTCCTCCTATCCAGGTGTTCAAAGCCACATCTGCAAGTCATGCCCCCCCCAATCGTATCCCTGTTACCTGCCCCATAGCCCTGCGCACATCTGCAAAGAAGTTGTGGAAACGAGGGGCTTTCTCTAAGAGCATAAGCCTCCTATGGGTCTTAGAACCCTTATCTCACAAGGTTCCAAACCATGCAAGGACCCTACATGGAGAGAAGGCATGGTGTTTCGGGCCTTCCCCGCCCCACACGTGAGCAGTGGTAGGCTGGGCTACTGGGATAGGGCAGAGGGTGCAGGATAAGCAGTTGGTGTCCTGATCTGCCCCCTCGCACAATTCTAACCATGGAAGCCTTGCATGGGGCTGCCGCCAATGCGTATACTCTCACAAGCAGGATCTTGTGAGAAGAGCCTTGGACCGAGTTGTGCCTTCACCAGCAAATCCCAGTATCACCTTCAGGAGAGCTGCTTCCCATCTTGAGAATCATAGTTTTAACAGCACATCATTGGAAGAGCCAAATAACTGGCTTTGCTGGATCAGCCCAGGACTTGAGTCTCCTTCAGACGTCAGCCAGAGACGTCCGGAAGCTCGCAATCCAGCCGTGGCGGCGGTGGCCAGCCCCTGTTTATAGTCTAGCATTGTTCATCCGTATTGCCTGAGAACATTGCTCCAAATTTGGCCACATCCTCAGAAGGGTTACTTGTATACGCTATGTTTACAGAGGAGACGCCAGGACTCCTACTAGTGCAACTGCTTTTTTAATATTCATATTGTGCCAGCAATGTACTTGGATTTGTGCTGAACCTTGAAGCAATCCCAAGGACTTGAATTATTTGGAGATTTAGATTAAAACGATGTTTGAGTAATAGATTTTTCTGGCGCATTTAGATTTTTCAGTAAAAAGGCCAGGGGACCCTAGTTCTTTGAATGGGTCCTACAGATACTTATTTGCTTTCTGCTTGCTTCGTGTAGGAGTCTGACGATGTTATGAAATATCTCTCCTTTCTGTGTGTTCCATCTTCTGGAAAGTTGCGAATCACAAATATGGGCAAGGCTCAGGTGTACTTGACAGGATAGTGACAGGACTCTGAGGTGGCTGTTGCGTGTATTGTACCTATTCTTGGCTTTTGTCGATCTACCTTGTACCTGCCACAGGTGAAACGGACCAGTAGACACACACACAAGAAATCTACAAGGAAACGAAATATTTTTAAGAGTTTCAGAAGCACCCATTTGTTGCTGTTGCTTTAAAAAAGAGGGCTCCTTAAAACACAATTTGGAACACTTTGATCTCAATTAGGATCATGGCATGTTTATATTTCAATAAGTACTCTTTCCTCCTTCTGGAAGAAACATGGGCTATGAATTTTGAAAAAAAGACTATATATATATACACACTGTAAATTAGCATTGCTTTTGAATAATTCCTCTTAGTGTTAGGGCATTTATTTTGCAAATGCCTCAATCAGCCTTTTTGTTGTTGTTTTTTTGTTTGGCTCTCCTAATAACCTGGCTTCCTTGATCCGTGTTCCTAAAGATCAGTTGTGCAGGACATACAGGTGTTGGCACAGCTGGCTTGCTGATGGCATCTCTGTCCATATAGCTGTCTAGTGTGCCATCATTCATATTGCTCACTGTCATTCTGACCTAGCCAAGCTAAAAATGGTACTCCAGTTCAAGAGGGATTTAAAAACCTTGACAAACTAAAGATAAGACATTGCAGAATGTCATATCCATGTGTTAAACTGTTTTCAGCTTAGACATATCTAAGTAACTAATGCCAGAGCCCGTCTGTCTTCATTTTTTTTTTTTTTTGGAAAGTATGAAGTGTAAGTGTGTGTGTGTGTGTGTGTGTGTGCCTTGCCTTAAGTAAGGAAACATCCTTGCATGGAGTACTGTGAAATTAGTTCATGCGTTAGCCGTTATTTTATCCAGACATGGGTTCACTTTCAGCCCAAGGTCAATGAAATCTGTTCATAAGGGACATATTCTTGTGCACAACCCACAAATACAGAATAGCTTTGGCATTGTACTTAGTGTTTGCTTAAAAGGGCCTGGATCAAATTAATCTCTCATCCAACTGAGCTTGGGTTTGATGTTTCTATTTTATTTTTTAAAATGCTAGACTTTCCCCCCTCCCAGAAATGTGTTTCATGAAATTATAGAATCGTATAGCTAGAAGGGGCCATGAGGATCAAATTGTCCAATCCCCTGCAATGTAGGAATATTTTGCCCAATCTGGGCCCGAACCCACAGCCATGAGATTAAGAGTCTCACGCTCTACTGACTGAGCTATGTATTTTGCTGAACTTCCTTTTGTTAAAATAGAAGACAATTTTCCTTTTTTATTTCAGCCGAGACATGTATTCTTTTAAAAATCTGTTGGTTTTTATTGCTTGTTTAAGAATATATAGGCTTTGGATGAGTAGTCCATTGAAAACCAGGGGGCTTGCTTCTAAGTAGACATGCATAAGATTGTCCTGGAGATGTGTGTTTGAGACTATACTGTAGAATGCAAGCAGGGAACTGATCTAAGATGATCCGGATCATCCCGTCCCTTGTGGCAGTAACCTCCAAGTACCGAATTAATTCTGTACCTTACATCAAATCGCTTAAGGATTAATTTGCCACCGTCTGTGAGCAAACATGAAAAAGGTTGCTCATGACAAAAGCACTCCCTTGATGTAAGGAGCAGTTCAGCAAAATAAGCAGGTGAATTAATCTTAAAACATACGGTTGAAGTAGCAGGGAAGGACCTAGCCACAAGGACTAATAGCCAATTTTTATGTAAGGGAAGAATTCCTACCTAACGCCAAATGGTTTGGGGCTTTGCATAAAATTTGTGTCCAACACCCTAGTCGTTAGTTGGTTAAATTCCCAAGTAAAAGAGAATTCACCACATAATATTTTAGAATCCTGTGAAGTGTAGTTTAAGGTTACTGGGAATTGGAGAGATGTGAGGGGTAAATGACAGTTCCCAGGAATCTTTGTGGGGGGAGAGACGTGACTGTTAAAGTAGTATAAATGTGCTTTAAATGTATGCTGTGGATGTGACCTAAAAACCTCTCACATAGATTCCAGGAAACCGGGAATTACATTCACATGTGGTGGGAGTGTAAATATGTACAATTTTTCTGGCAAAGGGTGTTTAAGTAGATAACAGAAATCCCTGGGTTAAAGCCGACCGAAAGTCCAAACGTAGCATCATTATCAATGTACGATGGGGTAAAAGATTCGCAGGCTATGAAGGACTTGTTCACAAATTTTCTGACAGGTTCCCAAGTTACAATAGCTAGAAAGTGGAAGGGGCAAGCAGAATATAGAATGGAAGAATGGTATAAAGAGGTGTGGGATATAGCTAGTAATGATAAATTAATATGTTGCCATTAAGGCAAGATGGGGAATATGCAGGAGAAATGATTTTGAGGAGATATGGAAGGTATTTGTACTGTTAAAGCGGAAAGGGGTCAAACCATCGCAAGGGGTGTTGAAATTTTGGGAGGTTGGATAGTTACAATGGAATGGTCTTGGTGGTGGGGTGTACATTATTATTCTTATTTATTTATGATGATTATTTTGTCAAAATAATAAAAGGGGGGGGCTCATTTAATTCAGCAGGGTCAACACTCTGTTGGAGCAGTTTCAGCAACAGGGGGCCACTCACCCTCCACCAGTTTATGTAGCTTCCTCCGGTGGGCTGCATTGCCGCAGCTGGAGACTGCATTAATAACAACAACAACAATAATAAATGTATTTAAACTCTGCCTTTTGGAATACTAAATCCAATGTTCTCGCAGGGAGGGAACTGCCAGAAGGACCTCAGAGCTGGACCTCAGTGTCTGGGCTGAACGATGGGGGTGGAGATGCTCCTCCATGTATACAGGACCAAGGTTGTTTAGGGCTTTCAAGGTCAGCACCAACACTTTGAATTGTGCTCGGAAACGTACTGGGAGCCATTGCAGATCTTTCAGGACTGCTGTTATATGGTCTTGGCGGCCACTCCCAGTCACCAGTCTTGCTGCCGCATTCTGGATTAATTGCAGTTTCCGAGTCACCTTCAACGGTAGCCCCACGTAGAGCGCGTTGCAGTAGTCCAAACAAGAGATAACCAGAGCATGCACCACTCTGGCAAGACAGTCTGCGGGCAGGTAGGGTCTCAGCCTGCGTACAAGATAGAGCTGGTAGACAGCTGCCCTGGACACAGAGTTAACCTGCGCCTCCATGGACAGCTGTGAGTCCAGAATGACTCCCAGGCTGCACACCTGGTCCTTCAGGGGCACAATTACCCCATTCAGGACCAGGGTGTCCTCCACACCCACCCGCCTCCTGTCCCCCAAGAACAGTACTTCTTTCTTGTCAGGATTCAACCTCAATCCATTAGCGCCATCCAAACTTCCTCTGCTCCTCCCTTTTCAATCCCCACCTGGTTATGGGGAACAGTGGTGCAGGAGAGGGTGGGGAAGCACCTGACCCTTCACTTGCCTGACCTGTCTCTCCTCCTCTTCTGATCCATCCTGTGCTCTGCCCTTCAGCTCTGAAACCTCACCTGTCTCTGATTCTTGCCTCCTGGCTGGTATAGGTCCCCACAGACCACTGGCTGCCTCTCCCGAGTTAGACTCCAGGCCCTTTCTCCCCGTGCACGTTCCTCGGCATCCTGCCAGACCCTGACACATCAGTGCCTTATTTGAACGGGGTGAAAAGCAGAATTCGAGCTGGGTGTCGCCTGCATATTGGGGACACCTTGCCCCAAACCTCTGGATGACTTCACTCAGCAGTAAGCAGGGAGGACAAAATAGAACCCTGAGAGGACCCCATAGCGTAGGTGCTGGGGAACCGGGCAGCGATACCTCAGGCCATTTCTTAAATCGGCCCTCCAAGAACCAGAAGCAGTGCTGGTTGCAGTACTTTGAAGAACCGCCTGTAGGTGGTAGATTCAGGAAACCTTTAACGGGTGTCAGAAGCTGGAGGGGCTAAAAGGAAAAGAAAGGGCATCATCCAAATTCAACACTATGTCCTGAGAAGATTTCCATACTTTGTCAACCCTTAAGTGATATAGGTCAACTTGGTTAACAATGTGCCCTAGACACGAATGATTAAAAAAAACACCCTACTATGAGAGTTGTCTGTTTAGAAATACATGAAGCACACGAGAAATTGCAACAACTGCTTAACGTTTTTCTGAAGGACATGAAGCACGACTTTTGCAATGTTTCTCAAGCATTGCTTCAGGATCCGCCTCAGTAACAGAGTTTGCAAAGAATGGTGAGCTCTCAACTATCTTCTCCCCCCCCCCGCCCCATCCTTTAGTGTAGCTGTTTTAAAACTGCATTCCTCTGAACTCCAGGGTTCCTCGGATGCTTATCAGGGGTTCCTCAAGGAGAAGGTCATTGCTTGCAAACGAGCTTCCTGGAAGACGGTGTATCTTACCCTGAAACATGTAGCTGCAGGGGAGTATTGAATGTGTTCTTTCTATCATGCTCTTGTAGTTTGTTCAGTGCATGAATCAGGCCCCATGCGCCTGGAGGCAGGACATAAATATCCAGATTAACCTTAATTCTTTGCTTCCATAATTTTTACCTATTTCCAAAAAAGGGATTTTTCTATTTGTGATTGAAAACGTAGGCTCGTGTTGATTTCGCTCTCTCTCCTTGCCCCCCCCCCCAAGTTAAAGACGTGAATATTCCATCAATGGCTTTGGAGTCGCTATTTCTGCTTCGGCTCTTGATTTGTGAAAATGGGTGGGATGATGGCGATACCCTTCAAATGGTTGTTGGGAAGCTGAAGCAAAGCCCTTGGACTTGGCGGTGCTGCTGTTCTTTTTCGTTTTTGTCCCACTTACCAACAAGCAGCTCTGGGCAGTATACACAGGGGCCCAACATTGCGGGGGGCTGTGTGCCATCACACGCATGATGACTGGGCAGCCTCCTGAAGCAACGTTTGTGTGCCAGGCCACGCTTGTCAGCCTGGGTCAACATCCCACCAGGCTGTCCTGCGTCAGGGTGGCATCCTGCTTCACCTCCTCTGCCCCCTCAAGATTGGGGTGGTGGCCTGGGCTCCATTCCAGTGGATATTGGGGAAGCTGTAGAGGCCTCAGTTCCATAGAGTTGGCGCTCCTTGCTGTATATATACCTCTTTTCCACACCTCACCCTTTTTATCCTCGCCGTAACCCTGTGAAAGTCATTTAGGCTGAAAGATAGTAACTGAGCATCATGGCTGAGTGGGGATGTTAGCCCAGATATCTTGGGTTCAAGTCCATCGCTTTATATTAAGCCTCCCTCAACAGTTCGCTTTCAGAAGCCGTCATACTAAACCAGATTTTTAAACTGTCATAACTGCCTGATTAAAATTAAAAGACGCCTGCTTCTTGGGAGAAAAGCAATGACAAACCTAGACAGCATCTTAAAAAGCAGGGACATCACCTTTCCGACAAAGGTCCGTATAGTTAAAGCTATGGTTTTCCCAGGAGTGATGCATGGAAGTGAGAGCTGGACCATAAAGAAGGCTGATTGCCGAAGAATTGATGCTTTTGAATTATGGTGCTGGAGGAGGGGACGGCAGAGGACGAGATGGTTGGACAGTGTTCTCGAAGCTACCAACATTAGTTTGATCAAACTGCGGGAGGCAGTGGAAGACAGGAGTGCCTGGCGTGCTCTGGTCCATGGGGTCACAAAGACGGACACGACTAAACAACAACAACAGACCAGAATGAGCATGCTGACATCTCGGCAAGTTAATTGCAACTATTTAAGCTACTGGGGTGAATATCGGGGTCCATAAATGTGAGAGAAGGGATGCAGATGGGGCCGGCCCACCCATGAGACAAGGGGAGGCAGCAGCCTTGGGCAGAGGGCTCCTCAGGGGCAGCAGATTCAGCCTCCAAGGAAAGCATCGTCCGCCATGATGCCAGCAACAGCTGCAGTGTTCCCTTTGCTCATTGGCGGAAAGAAGTGTTCTCCAAGCTGAATTCCCAGGACAGTTTTTAAAGCTTCCGTGTATACACACACAGCTTCAGATTTTGGCAGGGAAAATTGCTAAACAGGAAACTCATTTAAAATCCCCACATGAATCCCAAACTAACCCAGGGGATTGGGTCAAGTTGGCATGGGATACAGATATTAGTGGAATAGCATGAGAAGCCACCATAGGGGAACAGTACCTGTAACCATACAGTACCTGTAACCATAGGTGCCAACCCCCGAGGCCCTGGGTGCTGGAGCACGCACAAAGCTCCCCATGAAGGGGCCGGGCACCCACAAATTTTGGCACCAGGGCCACAGACGCTACATGGCACCCACTGT